ATTCCTATTTTCGTTTCTTGACTATAGAATTGTAGCCATAGATAATAAATATCAATGGTGCAAACTGAAGAGATTACTTTATGAAATAGATTTGATGTCGACACCAAGAAAAACAATTTTACGCTTCTTTCACAAAAGTAACGCACATAATAAACTACTTACGAGTACATACTCCTCCCTAAGGGGTATTGTAGCGTCGTTCTTTTTGAATCTCGGAGAATGCAAGGGTAGCACTCTTGTTTTCATACCTCGCAACCGTCGTCACTGCACTCACAATCTAGGCGAAATTTTAAAATACTCATTAATAAGGTAAATGGATTAAAATAAGCTACAGTTAAGTGTGTAAACGTGCACTGCGCTGTCCTATTCAAATACTTATGGGTCACAAGTAACAAATTGTTCGTCGGCCGTCGTTGACAAAATAATAGCGTTGGATTGCACGTCCTGCGGTTCACCAATGGACCCTACATAATTTAACTTTACGAAATAATTTCATTACTCATAGGCTGTACACGAGGATGTAGTAGGATGGCATCTGATGACAAGCACAGATACAGGACATTTTGAGGATGTTTACTCTTAAATTTCGATAGGTATCTTTATCAAGCTGAAATATGTAAATAACATACACGGCAATAATTACATTATAATAAAATTGCTTTCATTTCAGACAGAGAATTTATTAGCAGTAGAGCTTCTTGTGTAAGAGTTCATAAAGGGAATTACTGCCTCCTTACCTATTTCTGCCGCCAAGCAGTGTGAGTATCATTGCGTTCCGGTTTTGAAAGATATTTAATTGTGCAGGTGAAATTACAGGCACAATATGGGACTTGTCACCTTATGTCTCATGTGAACTATTAAGGACAGGCGTGTCGCGCCACTTGGTATCATAAAAAAACATATCTTGAATATAAGGCATATAAATTTTAACACTTTAAGCCTCAGTATCGACCATAGTATAAAGGGAAGCAGAGCTGTGTATTAACAACCATAGTCGGTTACTTGACTAAGTGCAACGCAGTGAAACTATTGAAAATCCACTTTGGTATATAATAAGCCTGACGTCATTATTAAAACCATATATAACTAACATTTAAGATGAAATCACAAATGGAACAAATGCCCTTTGCATAGATATTAACTACAAGGTAAAGCTAACACTTCGACGTTGCAGTAAAACAACAAATAATTTACAAATGTTTACATTAATGTAATGGAAGTTTACAGTGGCGTATTTGTTAACATGATAACGGTTCGTAGTAGGAACGAATGAAACCTGACACAGCGTCTATTTTGTGGGCAATCACTCACTTCCGCTCTCGCACAATACGCCAGAGACATTGGCTTCATTGTGATACAACTCTTCTGCTCAATATGTATAATGTAGTTTAATAATTATATTTTTCGTCGAATGATGCCTAACAAGGAATTGGGGACAAAATGGTCACTCCACTACGTTGCCGTTGCTGTTTTAATTTCTCAACTGATTTAAAATAAAGTATAGAACATTCTCACTTAAACTAACAGTATACAATATTCCAAGTAGGTACTTTAGTAACGTTATTTAATTATTGCAGCATTGGTAAATACCAATGCTGCCTCCAAAAAACTGCCTCCGTGTTCAAACGGTTACCATGCCAAATTGCCACGCACAGGCCCCAAGTTCGATTCCCGGGCCGGGAGAAATTTTTGTATAGCTTACATTTATTTCTCTCGTGAGTTTAGGTGTAATTTGTAGTTGTCTATGTGTGTGGCCATGATACCCGCGATAAAGGGTTTCCCTAGTGTAGGGCTATGTTGAGTGTGTAATTAAAAATAAATACATTACTTTCCTTATTAAAGGAAAGCAGAAACTATTGATCCTTCCAGCTGCGATTTTATACTTTTTTTTATGATATCAAGAGATACAACGAACAAATCGTGCGTCTGAATAATGTAAGTAGTGTTCCTCGCTTGTTGACAGTTGCAGTTGCAGTGTCACTCAGAATTTTAAACCAAAAAGATCTGAGGGGCACTGCTACCGCATCCGACACACTGACATAAAGTTGACAAGGCCCATCACCACCCGCAGTCAAAACCATTTGTCTTCAAAACCGGAACGCAGCAATATTCACATTATTGCTTGGCGACAGAGATAGATATTGTGACAGTATTTCCCAGCACGAGCCCTTCACATGGACTGACTGCCAATTTAAGCTTCCTATGTTAGCAAATCCAATCTCTATTGATGATATTACCAGATACCTAACATCTAGAAGAGGAACAGTAAATATATTACCAATTGCAAGAATTATCAAATCTCGGTTGTCAACTCGCAACAACACTTACCACCTTAGATTAAGAGCCGTCGAAACGGTCGAAACGTGACGTCGAGTAGAATGTAGAGATGCGTACGAAGAGGGCAAGCGACATACGGGCGGACGTTGGGCCCAATCTTCTCATTACGGGTGACCCCAGGCGTGTTGACTCCGCGCAGCCCCGGATAAATCGTAAACGTAAATTGTTATTTAAGGTCAATGTTAATCCACGTTACAATAATGGGGAGAGGACGTCAAACAAAGCAGCAATTTTACTGGTGGAGAAATATCCGGAAGACGCTTGTCCGCGACATGACAATGCCCGGTGAGTTAGATCGATGCTGCTTGCGTCAACTAAATATCGTCACCCTCATTAGGAGGGTGTTTCCGGAAAACTGTTCTAAAGCATGTATGATGTTGATGAATGATGACACGTAACGACATCACGTAAACGACAGAGCAAAGCATAATCATAAAAGATGTATTGCAAGGTCCCACGTGAATAGCGTTCCATTTGTAATTTGTTTACCATCATCGATCGCAGATCTTTTCGTTCCATTACAGCAATATTAGAAGCGATGGAGAGTATTAAGTTCTCAGTAAAGCGAAAGGATCAAAACATGAAACGTATCTCGTAAAAATAATGCTCTGTCCAAGTTAGAATTAGTTGCAGGTGTGCAAGGTGAATGAACGATGCAGATATCAAGGAAGTATGGACAACGTGTGAAATGTATGACGCAGTTGCTGCAATAAATGCGATGCAAGCGATACAACGTGGGAAAGAATGCTGTGGTGTGTTTTGGCGGGAGTTGTTTACTAGCGATCGGCTTACGCTGCAACGTGGTCACGTCGTCGGCTGCCCATTCATAAGATAACCGCCGCTCCGCATATATGAGGACAGAGATTGTTATTGTTTGATTTATGTTCATAAGCGGCTACTGTCTTGTTCGGTTCATTGTATAGACGTTCAAAATGTCGATTCGAGCAAGCGCAAAATAAATTTAAGTCCAGTATAATTATGTCTCATAAAAGAACTTTTATTTTATTTCAGTAAAATCTTAATCGTGACAATTTTATGAAGTAGTCTGCTGTCGAATTTTCAATTATACAGCTGGACAAAACTGACGTATATAGTGTTATCAGTTTTTGAAATAGAACAATAAAGTGTTTATGGGAGAGCAACTTGGAAAATTGAAAAAATATGATTCGAATACTTATGTTCTACGTTTAGACATTATTTTTTGAAGTTTCATTTAGACGTGAATTAGAAAATTAAATTGTATCTAATAAATTTTAATTGGATCAATAGTTTTCGTTCAGTATCTTCAACTTTTGACAGGTGTCAACTGTCAAATGTGGAGAAATATTTCTTTTATTTTTTTCCGTCCTCTAAGAGAAATATTAAGAAAAATATAATTTTTTCAAAATTGAAATTTTTCCTTGATCCAACACTAATTATTATGAGTGTTTGGAGGTATTTTTTGGGTCATGTTAGTAATCAAGTATAATATCATTGTCAGTAATTTAGGGTTGACTATTACTACAACCGCCATAAAATGCCTTGGCCTAACCCAAAACAATATATATTTTTCACTTCTCATGTTCTTAAAAATCGTGCTTATGTAGGCTATATAAAATAGGATTTTATGCTCTAGTGCATAAAATAAAAAAACCATCACATTAAATATGTATAATTGTTGTAATTTTACATTCAATTTTAATTAAATAATCGTTTATTTGTAATATTGCTGTTTAATTTCCTCGCAATCTAAGTGAAAAGCAGAGAGTGTAACTCTTTCATATTATTGTTAGTTAGCAATTATCACACGCAACATTGAGATTGCCAGGGTAATAAAAGTACAATTTTATTTTCAGTTATCGAGATTGTAAGATAACATCAAAACATTACAATCTTTTTTCTTTGAGCGGTAACGTAAAAATGAAAATGACCAATCACAGTTTCCCGATTCTCGATAAACTCGATTTAAAGTGTTTGAAGGTATGAAGTTTAGCATCTACTGTTTTTTCCTCAATCTACTATTTCTTGCGTGCAATGTATTCAGACTTTTTCAGATTTGATCTGGCGATTTTGAGCGGTGCCCAAACTAGGGCCCTTGAAATCGGTTAGTGTAATTGTGTGTATACGTTCACTATAACTACTGACAACTACTAAGTTGTCATCATTCATTCTCTTTATCGGAAGTTGCAAGGAACTAAGTTTAATTTGCATTTGGACGAGTCAATGTCAAAACATTACTTGTGTACACTTATTTTTAAGCATCGAGTATATAACCAAAAATAGAGACGAAATAAGGGCCATCCATCCCTGGCAACCTGCCAGGCAAATGGGCCTTATTTCACTTTTAAATATCAACTCACGTTTGCGCTAAACTCACAAATTAGAAAGCTGAAATAGTACAGCACCAACAGCTGTCCTGTGCGTACGTCTCCGTATATTCCAAAAATATTCTGTATTTATTGTAATAAAGGTAATATCTCTAACAATGGGGGCTGTTCTATTCGGTGGTGTGGGAAAAACTGCAAAACGTCTAAGTTCAAAACAAACAGAATCACATTTCATCCATCAGTAATCAAATATGTAATTATCCGTCCATTATAGCAAAGCTCTAGTTAAACTGGTCGAGTTGATGTGAAACAAATGACACCCGTCAATTGTTTCGAATTCGGGCTGGCCAATTGGAGCGCACTTGTGCCCGTAATGATTTGGCAGAATAATTTTCAAACAAGTTAAATGACATTCCGTCTCTATTTCTGGTATACTCGATGTTTTTATATTTGAGAAAAGCCAACAATTCCGATCCAAATTTTTATTTAATATTAATAAAACATGAGTTACAACAAATGGCATCTTAAATAAAGACATAAATAGTAAAGCTGCACTTCAATTTATCATTTGTAACAGATACCTAAACTTATACAATCATCTGTATAGATTTCCTAACGATTGTTAGAGGAATGCATAACTTTATCCAATTTGAATTTAAAACAAATTAAGCAATACGTGCGACAGTTCATTGCGTTGAAGCGAAGGGAATCTATGCAGATGATTATTTATCATTTCCGAGAAATTTCATAAGCCAATAATAAATTCAAAAATTTTGATCCCAAAACTCTGAATCGAACCTGTTCAGGGTGCATTACTGTTAGACAATTGGCTCCAAAAAACTTAATGAAAAACCTATCCCTAATCAGCTATTGAACTATTTTAACTAATTAAGTACATATTGGAATTGTCTTAACTGTTTTTATAACTCTTATGTTAACATGTTTGAGTACGGTTGTCTATTATTCGTCTATCAAGTCAAAAATATCTATAAAAAGTGCGAGTAGGCGTACTGCTCTGTGTGGTTTACAGTTTAAGGAGTGTCAACAATTAATTTACTAAGTGCGTCTTACTTATCCTAAGAACAATTAATAAGCAAACAAGCCATGAGTCTATTATGAGTCAATGTAGTTTTGTACTAGATTTTGGGATCAACCTAAATTATCCCTAAGAGTTTCAACATCGACATAGGTACGTATATAGCAAAAAGAGCGAAAGCAAAGGAAAGAAAAAATAATACTATAAATAATAGAATGCTTAAAGTTACTGAAGATACAATTGAAAAAACGTAAAAACCTAACAGTGTATTTTACAAATAAATTAGAAACAAAAACAACTTTGTTCTCTGTGATCACAATACAAAGAGTTCGCAGGAGAGTGCACGCAACGACTTGGCCAAACAGAGACGACGAACAGTCTGAGACTGAAAAGTTACTTCTGATCTCTGGAATATTGGCGACAATATTAACCTTTTAACATCAATGAGAAAAGGTAGATTAGATATCGTTTACATTGTTTTGCTACTGAAATAGCAATGAATTTAAGTAAATGCATGCAAAAATACCTACCAAAATTAATTGACTCCGAACAGGTATAACAAAAAAGAAGAGGTTATGATTCGATCATCACAGCATCTGCAGTGGATTAAAATTAGTAATTTTCATCATACATCGTTCCAACTAGGAAGGAATTACAAACAATAATTTGACATACACATCTGATATTATAAAATGAGAAACCGCATCTTATTCGATACCGCGCACGGAGCACGGCCACGGGTAGATATAGAAAAGATGTAAAACTCCTTACTGAAAAATAATCCCAATTGTTCACGCGGGATTTAGTTGACCGAACGTACATTATATCATTTATCCGTCGTCTGCGTTAAGCCATCTTAATGTAAATAAAGCAGAGAATCATCAAATACGACTAACTTAGAATCATATGAAGCAATATATTATCATTTCGAATAAAACAACCAACCACCTTACAATCTACAATATGTACACAAGTTACGCAACTAAACATAAAAATAGTAGAGAGTTTAATACATGATAAATAAGCAAAACTTATGTGCATGATAGATACAATATGACAATAAACGCAATCATTTCAAAATTCTTAAACTAGCCCTATTGGAAGTTGTTGACTACAGTCTTATGAAAAATATTATGTAACCTCTCTGTTCCTCTGGTTAAGCAGAGGTTCGATGTAATGTTCTTCATGAAATTCCGGCCAACCTCTTAATTAAAAAGATCGTATTTACGATATTTTAAATAAAACACTAATAGTTAATTAATTAACAACCTCGCAAACAACACTTTTCTGTTACTAAACCTCTATTAAAAACTCTTCAACATTCAACATCAGTTCGCACCAGTGGTTATTAACTAATTTTTATTCCCTAGCAAATACGTTGCTTTTATAATAACAATATTGTAAAAATAGAACTATATGCTACATAAGTATGCTTAAATTATTACGCCTATTATGCTGCTTAAAATATTATGCTCCTAATTTCATAAAACAAAAACACACGAAAGTTATATTATAACTTGTGTCTTATACTAAATATATATATGACTAATTAATCATGCATTGAGATTACATCAAGAAAACATGAAAAAACTATCTAAACAGGACTTTACGACTGTTCTTTTATTCCTACAACGTACATAAAGAAAAGTGATGGAAATTTATTTTACAAAAATATTCTTTAACTCCCTACTTATATCGCTAAGCGTAGAATCAATTCTAGAGTCTTCGCGCGCCATTTTTAATCATTTTAAGAGTTAGGCAAACTTATTCTAGTAAATGTCACGGTTCAAGGCTTTTCTATATTATACACTGCTTTACATTATTTACAACGAGATTCCATGATTCATGATTAGAATAGTGATAAGAGCCAATCCCTTGCTTTTCGGAATGTTATAAATACATTATGAAGTGAATTTATTCATGAAGGAATAGTAAACTATAAATTTGAATATTAAAAAGTCAATGCGCGACCAGCACGCTACACCACTCATCATTCCTTTACAATCAATGACCACTAACTTCATACATTATCTTTGAGGCTATTTTATTTTGAGGCAAAATTTATTGGAATGACATATTTTTCATTATGTCTCTTTCTTTCATTTAAATCCAGTCTTCAACACCAATTCTTATCCTTTCTAATTTTTTTGCACCACGTTTTGACAGGTATATTATTAAATCCGCGGTCCCATGCGTTTCATGTTTGTCTAGGACACTGTTACCACACGGTGAACCACTCAATACAGTCTTCAAAATTACCATACAACATAGCTGTTCCTTTAACATACCCAAACCAGCACAAGTAGACAATCAGTTTCTTTGCCGTGTCTTCCAATGAGGTGTCACGGTTCACTGGTCGCCGCAGCAAGGGCAGACGGGTCAGGATAGTCTCTGCCGAGGACGACGCGGCGCGAGTAAGTACGACGCGTCCAGTGGCGCGCGTCCACCGCCGAGGGAAAGGAGGCGACGTGCTATGGAGTTCACGCGGCTTTTCTGCTGTTCGCGACGCGCTGCTGGCGATAAAGCCGGGCCGAGCTGAGGGGGAATTATTTATTTATTTGTCACAAATGTCACAAAATAAAGGTTACTTACCGTCATCGCTTCGCATTAAATTAGCGTCAATAAACAAAACAAACAAAGCTGCAACATAACACGTGTCATATGAAGATGCGGACATAGTCAGGGTTCATCTATTGGTTTTTCTATGATCCTAAGGGGAAGTATGAAACGGACATATGAAGCATTAGGTAAATAAGCAGAAGTGCGATATCTAAAGATTTTTTTTATAATATCAAGTGATGGAACGAACAAGTCGTGCGCCTAATGGTCACTCAGAACTTTAAATCGCAAAGAACTGAGGGACACTGCCACTGCGCCAGTCACCCTGAGACATAAATTGACAAGTCCCATGTGCCTGTAATTTTACCAGCACCCTTACCCTTTAATACCGGAACGCAGTAATGTTAACATTACTGCTGGCGGCAGAAATAGGTAAGGTGGCAGTACTACCCTGTACGAACTCTTTCCTTACTGTTACTAATGTGTTGGAACGTTGTTCAATTTACCTCAACTAAATAAAAATTAAAAATTAATTAAATAAAAAATAATAATAGAGACTGTACCTTAGCCCCCTCATGGAAAGTAAGAGCCGGTGGTTTTTTCTTCATTTCCTTCGTACTCTTATTGGTCTTCTCAGCAGGCGCAGCGTTCTTTGCGGCCCGGCCCTTCAAGTACTCGGGTAAGACTTCGTGAGGCTGCAGAAAGCAAAATAAGATGATCGATGTAATAGTTAGCACTTTGATAGTCCCAGGACGTTGATATGCGTTAGGTAATTGATAATTTGTTGTCGATTGTGACGTAAGTGGCGGTATGTTCGCTAGAGAGATAAAACTTATTTAGAAACATTTGCGCGTATTTTTGTGTACAGTGCCTTTGGATCCATTTTACACGAAAGGTAGATGTAGAAGCCTTACATTCAGATATTTGTGTGATTATCATTGAAATTTTCGATTTATCAATCGGTAACTAAAACTTTAATTGAATGTACCGAATGATTTTTTATACTTAAAGAATGTTTGTGAAAACACAATCACATAAAAAGAAATTTACTCTTAATTTTAATCTAGTATGAGTAGGATATACGTAGACAGGGACGTAATGATTCATTTTAATTGTAGGAAAATACTGTATATATATATATATATATATATAGTAAATAAGTAACAAAGAAGCCGATTGAATTTGATTGAAATTTTCGCCACGCCAATTTTATGCAGTTCATCGACGGCGGTGGCGCGGCACACATATCATCTCTCGAGTAAATAAGTATAAGTACGCATATTTTTAAACAACATACAAGGCAAGCTAAGAGACTGTTACCATAGTAATATTAGCGTCAAGAGTATAGTTTCAAAGTGGTCCCTACCGCTCCCCAGTGAGCGCTGAAGGGTCGTGGGGAGGCGGTAGAGGCCTCGAAAGCAATTGAGGGACGTTGACGCTGTTCAGCGGGTTATCAATATAAACTACACAACATATATATGATATTAAAAATACGTGTCTTCAATTGTTTTTGTGGTGGTGGCGGTTGAAGTTTTTTTATCTTGCCTAAGTGGGCGGTGAGCCAGAAAATTTGCGAAACTAGCGTCTAGAGCATATTATTATTACGAAAGAACTTTGAATTTGATGTATACAAAATAGCATCAAAATTCGTTTTTATTCCGCGCTCGCTTAATTTTTATATTGCAGTTTTACATTTAACTACGAGCGTTGAAACTGTGAAATTGCAACGTTGGGTTCCAAGCACTATGTTATGACTTTAATATGCTCAAATGTATATTACATACGCAGTTCCAAGGATGTACAGGTGACACACAGGCAGACACATTCGGAACTACTAAGATAACCCGATCGGCATATAAGATGCACTGTACAATATACTTACAGCGTAAGTGCGCGTGATCTTGAGGCGTTGCGGGAAGTGGTGGAAGGCATAGGGCTTGGTGCAGATGGGGTACTTAGGCCGCGACACCTTCGTGAAGAGACGCGCTGTGCGGTCCACGCGCAGCTCGCAGATGTACACGTGCTGCTCGGCCGCGCCCACTGGACGACCCTGCCACGAAAAAAAGGTTTAACCCATGGCAACTACCACCTTGTCGTTTGCACCTCTCTTATGGTTGGGGTGTTTACACCACCAATATTTTTGCCTTGACGAATAATTTTTAACTAAGTCTTGTCAATCGTAATTTTACCTTGCAGTAAGTATTGAGATCCATCACCCAGCATTGCGACATAACTAGTTCAATAGGCACAGCCTCGTAAAGAGGGACACGCATTACTTCATTGTGGAAGAATCTGAAAGAAGACAAAGTAATAAAATGTTTGTTATTAAAATATAATAAGTAATGTTTTGTTCGCCTTTGCCAATTGTAATTGTTTGTTATGTAAATATAATTGAAAACTTACTTCCTCGTGGGTTCGTGGAAAGTCTCGTGTGGTCTCAAGTAATGGTGTCCGTAGACGTAGCGCTCCTGAGTGTCCTTGTGCTTCCACATCCGCTCCACGCGGAAAATGTCCAACTCTGATACCGGAATCTCACCGATCGTCTGATACGTATGCTTGCGGACTTCGCCCTCCTAACAATAAACATTTGTCATTGTAAATAGCGAACGGAGGTCCATAAAACTAGCCTTCCCGTGTGACGAAATGCACTACGTCTGATGCAACCTGAGCAATGCGTAAAATATACCAGAACGGTGTGGAGAATCCTTAATATATTTAAAAAAATAAAGCGAACTAGAGTCTACAATTCTTCTGAATTGAATATAAAGACTTCGCCGTAATTTATATATATACAAATAGTAAACTGTCTAAAGTAATATATATATATTACTTTAGACAGTTTACTATTTGGCAATAAAATTTATTACAAGTATATTTATTGCAACCAGATAACCTACCTTGCCCTGAGTTGAGTCATCCTTATCTTTCGCTTTACCGATATTCTTTATTTTTTTCCGATCCTGGCGTTTCGTCTTCGGCGACTCGCTTTTCTCTCCACTCTTTTGACTGACGTCGGGGTTTTTATCGTCGATGGGAATGTCGCGTAGCACGTAGACCGTGTCGCCTTGACGCACTTGCAAGTCCCCGCGCATTAAAGTCAAGTAGAACTGATGGCCTTCTTCTGTGTAGTCGTCGAGTGGTATTTCGCGATCAACGTGCTAGAAATAAACGGTAGTTGAAGATGTCCAGCTCATCTAAGGGCGTGCTTAGTGCCGCATTGTAACGATCTATGCAAATTCTGGACGATTTTTAAAATGGGGTAGCCTTACGTTGGCCGATGTTACAATGAAACATGCTGAGGCAGCATTAGGTCAAATGTTATGTCAAATTAGCGTACATGGTAACATATATAGTAATTTATATATGACGAGTCCAACTGAGAACGTATTACGAAGAACAGTTTAAAAGGGAATAATAGTGTTTCTCCACAAACCCGACATCCGATTATTGCCCGTCTCGCGTAGAAATTCATACAAATCGGACGAAAGACGAGTTTTTTTTTATAACATCAAGTGACGGGACGAACTAGTCGTGCGCCTGATGGTAAGCTACACGATTGTCCATAACAGTTACAGTGTCACTCAGTGCTTCAAAATTGCCAAGATCTGAGGGGCACTACCACTGCGCCCGTCACCTTGAGAGATAAGTTAATAAGGCCCATGTGCCTGTAATTTCACCAGCAACGTACCCTTCAAAACCGGAACACAGTAATGCTGACATTACTGCTTGGCGGCAGAAATAGGTAAGGTGGCAGTAGTGGCAGTACTACCCTGGATGAACTTTTTCACAAGAACTCTACTGCTACTAGAGTGAAGAAGCAAGTTTACCGCATTATGTTTTAATACGGATGTGGGATAGGGGTACGGAGAACCATCGTTACCTTGTCGGGGCGGCAGTAGTGGCAGTGGTGCGGCGCGGTGATATCCTGCACGCGCATGCACTTGGCGTGTTGCCACACGCCGCAGCGCGGGCCGCCGCACTGCACCATCAAGCCCTCCTCCACCATCAGGCCACACACGCACACGATTACCTCCTCTGCAGCAACGATACACAAACTTGTCATCGTCTCATGCCAATTTTAAAAAATACATTACACGTGACGTAACGCTTTGCGAGAAAATAGCTAATATTTAAGACGGAGTACGATCGTCGTCCACAGAAATGCTTGAGATAACGAAGGACTCATCGCTACAAAGCAATTTCTTAACAATTTTTTGGGACGCACATCAGCTTACGAGCACATCATTATATCTTACCCGGCTTAGTCTTCTGCAGAAATCCAGTCGGTAAAGGCTCTTCGGTTCCAAGGATCTTGGTCAAAATTTCTGTATACTCCGATTTGGCAGTATTGTACAGCTGGAAATAATAAATATTATATAGTCCGCGATAAAAAATACTGTATATTGTATATTTATCAACATGCACTTAAAATAATGATCAGCAGACTAAACTATTATATATTATATTATAGTTAATATATATTAACTGCCTCCGTGGCCGAACGGTTATGCCTCCATGCCGGACTGTCACGCAGAGGTCCCAGGTTCGATTCCCGGGCCGGGAGAAATATTTGTATGGCCTACAATTATTTCTCTCGTGAGTTTGGGTGTAATTTGTGGTTGTCTATGTGTGTGTCCATGGCACCCGCGACACAGGGTTTCCCTAGTGCGGGGCTATGTTGAGTGTGTGAGTTATTTATTTATTTATAAAAAAAACTAGGCACAACAAACTTTTGTTTAAATATATTACAAATTAATCAACAATTTAAAAGAAAAAACTAATATAAATTAATTTGAATTATTAATTTGAATAATGTAAAACAACTGTAACTGCATTTTTTTTATTTTAGTCACTCTATATTAATTTGATCAATTGATTGACAAATTACTGGAGACACTTTTGTAGGTGGCGCTAGTAGTCACCTTTGGCTTTTTTTATTACTTATTCGCGAATTCTCACCTTCTTCAACTGTACAGCCACGGCTCCAAGCGTAGATGAGCGTCCTTGCTCTCTTATAACGGCAGAGAACACACCATTGACATCCACGTCGAACTGTGTAACGCTTTCATAATGACTGCTTGCGATGTTCGCGTCTATTGTATGCAGATCTAGGAGAGCCGCTTGGGACTCTTGTTGAGTGGAACGTTCTGACTTAGTCTTCAGCAAGGGTGTGCATAGTAGTTTGTCTTTTTCGTCTGTAAAAATTACATAGGTGTATAGAAAATGAAGGATTGGCCACAAATGTAATACGATTTGCGTGGAGTAATAGAATGTTCTAAGTCTATATTTCAATTTATGCAATTCAATATTTATTACTTCAGCGGACTGTACGCACCTTTGGCATCAACAATAGCATTATAAAGTGCTCTGAACACCCGAGCGAGTCGTTCCTTCTTGTTCAAAGATGGGTCATCTTCCACACGCACAAAGTTCTTGGCATTTTCTTCTTTCGGCGCTCGTAGAGCTTGCAAACGGTTGAGGAACAGCTGCGGGTTCATCGTCTCAGGAAGAGCCAGCGGATTGACGTTAGAGTTGATCGCGAGAGCCGCGGTCACGGGAGGGGGTAAAGGGGACGGTGGCGCGGCGGGCACACTAGGCGGCGATGGCGGCATGGAGACGGACAGTCGATCTCGGATGCGGCGAACCTGCCAAACCAAATTAATTACTATACGAAAAAAGCATGTGAAAATTACGTAGTTAAGAAAATGGTGAGTGCTGGCATGGCTGCTGATACACTGACTGACAAGAGTACACATACAGAATATTGATTTGCGAGACCAGTCTTTCCGCGAGACATCCGCGTACAATAGCACATATTCCGTAAGCAAATCGTTACATGCCATCGTTCAAAGCCAAAAGTTGTTTAAATCATAATGCTAAACTTACATGTTCTAGATTTCTGAACAAGAAGCAGTGTCGCTCCTTCACAATATTTCTCTCTTTTGCTGTAAGCGGTTTCATTTGCGGCTCCTGCCATAGCTTATTCAAATGCTGTTGGTACTTCAGTATAGTCATATTCTTAACGTCGCAAGCACTAACTAATTGTTGTTCAGACTTTTTGTTACATTTCGCGGCTTTGCGCGGTCTACCGACTCGTGATTGGTTGCCGTTAGAACCTGCTGATTGGTTTGAAGCGTTGGATGGAGTACGTGACTGAGTCTTCACTGGTTGTTTAGTGATACGTTGCGATTTGCCTCCGATAACGCCTCGACAGTCTTCAGAATCACATTTGCAAGGCTGAAAATCCGAAATACATTTCATGTGAGTTAGCTATAATTATCAAATGGCCTTAGGTAAAGTGCCAACCGCATGATAAATAACTTAAATCATTATATGTTTGCAGTAATGAATTTGCTTGACCACTATATTACCTGGCCTACAGCAGGGTTGAATAATGAGAAGTTGTAGTCGTAAGTCAGTTCTTCACCGAATTCAATATCGCGTAGTGCGAAAAGCGCCATTCTGAATGTACCTGTAATATGAATATGAATTATTATAAGCTGATATGGGAATACGGAACATATATTCTCAACCAACTCCAAAAAACAATGAGGTTCTTAACTGCACTGTATATTTTTGTAACATGTTTTATATACCTCACATAGATATCCTGTATTATGAAACGCCCTGAAGCTCTATACACATTAGAACCCCGTACAAATTTGGAGCGACTCCAATAGTAATAAAAGTTTATTAGTCTGTGCAGCATAAGGAGTACACAAACTATAAAAAACTAAATACAAACAAAATTAAAGTCAAAAGAACTTTGCAATTACTACACCCAGAGATTTTGTGCTTGAGAGATAAGGATCCTTAGATCCTATCTTATGTTTACATAGTTTTCAAAGGTACAACGAAACACGACACATTTGAATTCAGTTTCAATTTTATGGTGTTATATATTGACATCAGCATAAGTGAAATATTTTACCGTTAGAAGTCCACTTTTGCATCTCGCAGTTGGGCCGGCAAGAGTGGTTGACGAAGCGCCCGTCGCCGCCCATGCGGTGCCCGTCGATCACGAGTCCGCCGTCGAGATGCAGGCAATAGTGATGCGTGTCGCGGGCGTACCTTGTTGCCATGCGTTCCTAGAGTAATGGAATTAATGGAATACTTCAGCGTAATCACGGGTCTCTTCCAAGAAGATGGAACGGAATATTTCGATGGGTCCTATGTACATATAAGGGCCGAAGCGCAAAATCACAATTTTAGGGGAGAGGCTTCCAATCCTTCAATCGGGTACCTTCAAACCTACTACTTTAAGTAGATTTCCTTGTATTTCGAGGTTTCCTTGAATACGTTTGATTTTGTTTTAACGCCACCTTATAGATTATAATGAAATTAAGCATTTCCCACAAAAAAGTGAAAATGACCAAATTATTAGTTTGGTCCTTATAACTTAGGACTCGTCGATTTACTTACACTTTTAATTAAGAATATCAAGTTGGAGATTGTTGTCAATTATAGTTTTTGAAGGATTAGAATCCTTGTTATATGAATTACGAGTTGCCATTGTTATGAGAATAGATACAATATGAATGTGAATGTCAATGCGAGTCATTCATGTAATAATCTCAGTACAGAGTACTAAAAAAACCGACCTCAAAAGTATGTGAAATTACGTCTATTTGTCTATTTTATTGAAATATCCCCTAGTTCGCCACTGTACAGAATTTGACACTGGAGATAATAAAAATCGGTTCTCACTACTCAAAGTATATTGAGAGAAAAACGCCTTGAATTGGAGAAATAGCAAAATCAACCATTAAAATAATTGCTCCTAAATTAAAGTTAGGCGCTATTTATAAAAATGAATCTTCATGCGTGAACAGCCACCCTTAGAGGTGGACGATTTGCTTCAAAATGAAATGGGACCACTATGGAAGAACCCCATTTCCAACAAAAAAAGAATCATGAAAATCGGTTCACAAATGCCGGAGTTATCGCGTAACATACATACAAAAAAAGAACATCCAGTCGAATTGAGAACATCCTCCTTTTTTGAAGTCGGTTAAAAATTCATGTGAAACAATGGAATATTTCTAGTTCCTTGAAATGTACATAATACAATTTATTATTTTATAAATTAATTATTAGATTGGACGTTAAAATTTGCATATGCCTCTATAAGAGGTGCATCATAGCTGAGTTAAATAAGACTTTACACCTTATCATGTAATGACCTATGATGACGAATAAATATATTGAATGATAGATTCTATCTTGGCAAATAGATCGTTAATGAAATAATAAGAACACAAGATTAGAAATGGATTTTAGGCCTCGTCATGTTGTAAAATTAAAAAAAATCTAATTACTTCTACCTATATCATGAACATCAAAAATTCTCTATGTCTATCCTAAAGCTATAATTTCAGGGTTCAAATGTAACATGTTAAACTTTAGTAAAATATTAGATTAATCGAACCTTGAATTCCTTTTCAGAAACGACTTCTCCGACGTACTCCAGAATGAAGTCGCCAGATTTAATCTGGTGCTTGGTGCGCACGCCCCAGCCCTTGTTCTCCGTCATGAACTTTTCCAGCCCCGACGCCCATTCATGACGTTGAATGCGCTGATTCTTACATTTGTCACTAAAACAACATACAAATTTATTTGTAACATAACAGTACTTATTGAAAAATTAACCACTATATAACAAATCAGTTCTCGGGTACCCTGTCATAAAATTAATATAACCATCATACTAATTAATATAATCACTGAACTTGTTTGTCATGCTATGCTATGAACATACCCGCACGGACAGAGTTGCGGCGAGCACTCGCAATACACCAGCCTGTTGATGCAGTCCTCGTTGCAGCCGGAAGACGGTGCACAGTTGCACGCAACACTCTCGCACTCCTCTGCGGATGGCTTTACGTCATAGTACACGTCTGCAATGACATAATTACACACTCGTCTTCAAAGTTCTCATAATTGACGAAACTGACAAATTAATTAATAAATAAATCATTTAATAAATGTTAAATTCTTCGTACATCTAAATTAGTTTAAATATTTCAATACTTTAAGTTACTTTAAAGCTTGGGGTGAACGAAAGGAGTCTCCCCTCACGACGTACGATAATTTTCCTGTACGTCTGACGCACCCAGGGCAACAATCGTCGTACCTTCCACCGATCGGCAAATCCATTCACCACGGTGACAGAGAACAAAAAGTAAAGAGAACGGACACTCTCCGCCCCTCCCTAGCTTTAGATACCACACCACGCGCCGCACATTGCCGGTCACATTGACTGAACGCAATAAGGCTGCCGGCGAGCCGTTTTCATGCGAAGACGGCTTTGATATTTGAATATAGTTTTCATTTATTCATTACGAAACTTGTACGTTAATATAAAACATCATTTTACGGTATTATAATGGTTGTGAATTGTGCTGTGTACGGCTGTTTATCATCATTTTCTGAAAGATGAATCGAAGTAGGTAAGTAAAAAAGCTTATGTCTGAGACTCATTCAGTTATTGTTTTCTTCATTTATTTACTGCAGAGTAATATAATGTATGTATAAAAAATACAGATTTAGTATATCAAAATAATGAATGAGGCGCCAAGACTTCGTGAGCTGGTAGACAAAGGTTCTCGACTTTTCAATTTATATTGCCGATAAATATTACGTAAGTAGCGAATATACCTAATTATTAAATAAGTAATGATGATCAAATTGGACACATAATTTTAAAAACTTGGTTATCTTATTTAAAAGTACATGTCCAAAATATAACATTTTAAGTGCTTTTAATACATTTTTTAAATAAACCTTTACTACTCTAGTTAGAGAGTTCATGAAAAATATGATATTATATTGATGTAAATACATAATAGACATGTGTAATTATTAGGATTATAGATTCTATTAATAGAATCAAATATAATAGATTCGCGTTGGCATTTTCCCTATGTTGCCGCTCTGATCACGTAACGTAATAGTGCAAGAAAGTGATGGGTAACCCTGCCACTCCACGCACACATTTGCGCGTGTGCAAATAGCGCCTTGCTGTATGTAGTAATAGTAGTAGTAGTAGGTAAATAATTTTCGACCGTTGTATGGAGTGTCCGGGTGTGACGATGGCAAGCATTCATATGATATAATGTCGATACGATAGGACGTTACTTATGATTTTAAAATCGCGTGTAGTACAAGTTTTTTTACACAATTTGCGTTAATCTTGCCTGGTTTCATGACTCTAAATTATCAAAACTTACTAGTTCTTATTTTCTTGTAGTTCCATGAGGGTACAGGCTGGTTATAATGCTGCTCCCACCAGATATCGTAAGGCAGCGTAAAGTGCTGCAGACGCCTGCGCACCCATCGCTCGCAATACGGAGGTGGAGCTAGCAGCCCGGGCGGGAACTCTGTTTGGTTAACAAGATTCTTCCCTTTGCCTTCCGGTTTCGGACTGAAAGGCAACACAGTGTAAGTACATTAATTTGCATAATACCATAATAGAATTTTGAATTCCCTATAGGAGATACTCACTCTTCTTTGTAGTAGTCGGAGAATAGACCAGCAACCAAAAATTTCTTCCGCAGCCGTGGATTTCTCTTTGAAACAACGGGTTTCTCCCTGTTGTCAATACTACTAGCCGGGCTTTCATCTCGGGACGACGCCACACGTTTCTTGCAAATAATGCTCTTCGACAAAACATCAATACTTTTTTCAAAGTCGATTTCCTTCTCATTCAACGGTAATGGATCATTCTCATCGTGATCTTTGAGATTATCAATAGAAGGTTCCCTAGATTTGTAACCAAGTCTCCGACTGGCAATTGTGTCCAGTGAACTTTCTCGAGAGCTTGACTGCACTTCGCGAGCCTTTTTTGCTTGATATACTCTTGATTTTCTTCGAGTGACTACACTAGCAGGTTTACCTGGTTTTTCTACTTCTAATGGCTTTTTATTTTCAAAATTCTTAGACTTAGCTTTCACATCATCATTGACATCAGAACTTCTAGTAAGTCTTCTTTCTGAAGGACATAATACCGCCAGACTAGATTTAGGTCTCAAGGCAGTTTTATTTGTCTTCTCAACATTCTTTCTCTTTGACAAAATTTCTTCGATTTCTTGCGAAGGCGATATTGCTCTAGTTTTGCGTTTCAGTCTATCCAAATTGTCTATTCGACTACGGGGCCTATCGGCTTTCACGTTCAATAAACTTAAGGGGATGCTGTCTTCGGGATCGTTACCAAGCGAACTGCCCAAAGAAGGAATACTGTCTGTTTCGCTAAGGACTTCCCATTTGTTAACATGACTCTTTCCTTCTTTTTCGGGTTTATGCTGCTTAAGTTGCAAAGCAGGAGCTCGTAAAATAGACGAATTTGCATTCTTTTTGTCATGTGTAGCTGCAGATGGTACAGTTTTATTGTTATCAGAAGGAATATCCTTACCTTGGAGTTTTTCAAGAGCAACCACTGTTAATCGGCCGTGTTTAGGACATTCATCTTTATTTAAGACCACTTTCAATTCAGGTTTCTTACTTGTAGTCCTTTCCAAGAAGCTGCTCATTGCTTCACCGTCTTTAGGTACCCGTTCAAATGCAGAATTATTATCTGTATCTTCCGAAGTGAAATGACCGTCAGAGGTTAAGTTCAGGCTAGGTTCTATCTTCTTTTTCTTCTTTTTGACGCTAGGAAAACCAGTCCTGTTAATGGCTTTTCTTCTCCTAGTTTTCTTTTTCGATGCCTCCGCAGTATTCCTAGTAACTTTAGAAATATTAAAGTCAGCTTTCTTATTGCCAATGTTAATTTTCTTAGTAGGATCAGTAATGGCTAGTCTTTCTGCATGAACTTTTGGAATCAGCATCTTCGTTGGTAAGACAAGTTTACTTTCTCTTATAATAGCAGGGCTGGATATCTTTTTCTTTTTCCTATCTGTGGTTTCGTCACTTTCATTTTCTCTCTCTTTACTTAAATTTCTTTTCGGTTGTCGTAAGTTATGTCCACCAACAGTTCCTTGAATTTTATCAGATATAACAGAAGCTATTGATTCTCCTCTTTTTGGCCTGACTATTGGCTCAGGTGTTTCTGATATTAATGGCAATGGGATTTCTGATTCAGTGTCAATAAGAATCAATAAATCATTTGCAACTTTATCATTAGCTTTACCTTTACTCTTGGGTTTATTAGAATCAGCCAATGCACTACTGACACAAATTGATGATTTGGGTATTTGGTCTTCCAAATCAATAGATGGTTCAAATATTCCTGTAGGTTTATCTACATTTACCACTACGGTTTGAGTTACAACAGGTTCGGTTTTAGATTTCTTTATTTCTAATACCTTGCCTTTTGAAACTGGTGACTTGATAACAGTAGCTCTTGTACTAACTTGAGAAACGTCCTTGTGCTTCGGTTTATCTTCACCAGACTTATTATTTGAAGACTCTGTATTGTTCTTCTCCTTTTCCAGGATTCGAGATTCTATTGATTTTCGAATGTTATTGTTCAAAAGAGTATCCAAAACTTTAGTTGCCGCACTTGGATTTATTTTTGAAACGAGATTACTAGTCAGGCCTTCCAGTCTATTTTTCTTGCGCGTCATTATCTCAGACTTTTGCGCTGGCGGAATAAAGCTTTTGTATAAAGTTCGAGCTGACATACTTTTTAAAGGGTCTATTGGTGTAGCATTATTTGTTGCATCATTATTTTGTAGATTAGGTTCAGATTGTTCAGGTTCTTTGATGTCATCTTTAAAGTTATTTTGATTTACATCTTTAGCGGGAGTAGGACACGATTTTTCTTCTGATAATTTTTTTGATAAAGATTGTACGACTTGATCTAAACTTGAAGTAACTTTGTCAGCCTCAAGACGGTGTCGTTTCTTGGGTGTTACAATTGGAGCAGGATTTCTAGTTGGCGATTGTTTTGTTTCGGATCTTGGTGAGGACATTCTTAAAGTTTCTAGTTTTGAGGATTCAGGTTTAACTTCATCTTTGGACTTTGGTAAAGATTTTTCTAAATCGTGAACCATTTTATGCACAGCTTTTAGCTTCTCGGATGTTTCATATATTTTCTTTGATAGTTCAGATTGATCGACTCCGGGTTTTTTTATGGACAACTCATCGTCAATCGTTGTAAGAGAATTTGGCGAATAATTCTTAGTTGGTGTAGTCACATTTGTTTCATTCATTTTTATTTGTAAAACGTCCGTATCATTAGCGCTTGATTTTGACGGCTTGGTCATATCGGGATATGAACATTTATCTTCTGGAGTACTAAGCTGAGCTGCGTTCTTGGAATTTTCGTTGCCTTTCTTATTCTTTTCGTAAGCCTTAGGTTTCGAAAATTCCTCTGAAATATTATTCTGTATTTCGCCCATGCAATCGGTTTCTGTACACAAAAATTTTTCAGGACTAGTACCATTTTTAGAGTTATCATCAAATTCTGATGTTACCAAACTCAGGCTCAATGAATTGCTCGTGGAAGAATTTATGTGATAATGTCTCTTTTTCAGTGGCAATTTATGTTCGTTTGTATCTTTACCACCTTTGTTTTGAGATTCTGCTAGTTGTTTCTTATGTCTCCGTTTAGAAGTCGGAGTAGCAATTTCTGGATTATCCGACGTTTTACGTTTTTTGGATCCCCTCTTCATCACTTTAGTAAGAGCAGGTTCACTTTTTGGTTCGACCACTGGTTTTTCTGTGCTTTTCTGTTGAGTTTGTGGTGCCGTGGGTATAAGTTTTGGTGCAATTTGACAAAGTTTAATAAAATTAGAGATGAGATTATCCATGTCTTGAGTAAATTTCTGATCAATTAAATCTACAGTTTTTGTATCTCGACATCGCGAGGCTGAGCGTGATCTATGTCTTCGTTTACTTCTGTGCCTATGATGTTTGTTTTCAGTTTTGACAACTACACGAGAAGGCCTTTCCACGGGTTTTAAATTAATTTTGGGTGGCGCAAGTACTACAGTTCTTCTATGTTTTTTTATGTGATAGGATGGTTTTATATGTGGTTTCTTAACATTTAGAAATACATTTCTTGAAAGTGATTTATTTGGGATATAAGTATTTTTGGCCTTTTCGAAAATACTTGGTAGTGGTTTGGGTATAACTTCGTTCTTTGTATTTCGATTCGTTTTTGATCTACGGTTCTTGGGGGACGAATTTCTGGAAAAATATTTGCTATCTCGTTTTGATCCAGGTATTTTTACAAGTGAAGTAATCGGCGAAGAACCAAATTTGTGAGTGAAAGTAGGTTTCAAAGGTGGCAATGTTTTTCCAATGTAACTCACTTTTGTGGGTGATTTTACTAAGGTATTATTGTTATTGTGGTTCAATTTGAATATGTTGTAAGTCATTATCGGCCGTTGTAGTCCACTGAACACTGGTCCTGGTGCAAAAGGATCAGAAGGGTTTACTCTGAGTACTGGTTTTTTATTAAGTTTTGAAAAACCAAAGGCGTATTTTGATGGTATCGGATACTTTGCGCAGACGCTTACATACTTTGGACTAGCATTGGGTTTTCGCAAGTAGCTTTCACATTCTGAATCACTTGAACCATTGCCTAAATTCAAACAACTAAACGTTTTGTTTGATAACAATAATATCTCTTGGTCTGAAACAAAATGTTTTTGATTCTTGTAATAAGATCGATCTCTTACTGATCTTGTTTTCTTTAGTTTTCTTGTCCGTCTTCTCATACTTCTGACACTATAATCTGTTTTATACCCTGACTTATCACTTTTATAACCTGATCTATGATCAGTTTTGTAGCCGGAGCGATAATAATCGCTCTTGTATCCAGATCTGCAGCCATAATCACTTTTGTAACCGGACTCGATCAGTCTACTGCAGCTTTTGTATGGTTTAAATTCATGATCACTCTTGTATCCCGACAGAATATCTTTGTATTTAGGGTTGAGGTCGATTTGTTTCCAAGTAGGGTCAAGAGGATCATCCGCAGCTGCCTCATTTTCACTCTGATGGTCTCGCCAAGCATTAGTAAATGACTTGTTACTCTTTTTGCTATTAGACAAGTTGGCAAGTTTACTATTGAGTTCTTTTCGTTTAGCATATACACCGGAGAGAACTGATCTATTTGATGGTATAGATTCTTCGTCACTATCAGCAGAATCATATTGATTTTTGTCTTTCAACGTCTTAGGGGTGCTTTTTGTTGACTTTGCTTTATTTTGTGGCTTACGACCCACTTTCTTTCTAGGAGGGTAAAGTACTCTATCAGTAGCATATAGCATTCTATCTAAAGCAGCAATATCTAGCTTGTGATCATTTTTCTTTGTTTTTTCAAACTTATTCTGCTCCTGTTTTAATGGAACTGGAGAGGGTGCTTCAGTCTTTATTTGTTTAATTTCGTTTTCTATAGTTTTCCTTTGGTAGTCGCAGTCACTTGAATCCGATCTATTGTGTGCTTTATTGCGGCTCTTGGATTTCGATCTCATATTTCTTCTTTCTCTAGTATTGTTTTCTTTCTGAATTGACTTCCTATCTATTCTATTATGAGGATCTTCTACGTCGTGACGTCGAAGAGGAGAGTGTGTGGGTGAATTGTGATTTGATAAAATACCAGAATCAGGAGACACGTTAGGTGGGTCATTAGCATTATGAAAGTCATTTATCGCATTTACAGCAGATTTATCTACTTTTCGAGATTCCTTGTTTTCATTTGGTACTCTAATTTTGCGTGGCCGTCCTCTTTTCCTTCTAGATTCCACAACAATATTTTTAACGTCTTCTTGAGATTCTACGGAATTAGTACTGACTGTATCAAATTTATTGCTGTCGAGTTGACTTAGATTATTCATGTCAGTACCCAAAAGAGACCCTTTCAATATATCACTAGCACTTCCAATTTCAGATGACCCCTGGGTTATGTCCAGACTCATAAAATCGTTATTATCAACACAATCTTCTAAACTTGGCGGATTAGGTATTGATATGCCAACAGATTCAGTCGCATTTATTTCTTCAAGGTCTTTGTTAATAAGTGAAATCTCTTCAGATTGTTGCGGACTCAGGTGTTGGGCAGCATTCAAGAAGTTCGGAGCGATGGGCGTTATTTCTGGTAAATTATTAATCTGACCAAGAACGCAATCGCTTATCGCTCCTACTCCATCTATTGGCGGATTGAGTCCGCACGGCAAGGCAGCGGGTGTGATGGGCGTTATCGGAGCTGTGCTACTCAGTAATTGAGTTTGAGCAACGAACTGTTGTAATAAACTGGAAGCGTAATGAGTAGTATTCTGATGGCCGGCATCAGAATTGGAGCACTCGTTTTCGGACGATGACGAATCAGCTGTAGCCCTTTGAATTGCCGCCGAGACTAGCTGAGGAGTAATTTCCATCTCACTGCTAGATCCGTCACCTACGAATAAACAAAACTGCAATTATGATGAAATCTTAAAAAAGACAGCTACTAATATGAAATAAAATAGTAAACAACTAAAACTCACCGTTATCAGCGATGGATTTATCATCGTTGTCGGGCGAAGCGCTGTGCACGGCGAAGGCCGAAAAATTGGGTTGCTGCGCCGGCGCGTTCGATGTCTGTTCTGGAAATAGTTCCGCGAGGTCTGCATCGTCGATGACCTAGACGATATATTTTGGTTAGCGATGTAGACTTGTATAAATTACATAATATCATTCGTTGGGGTATAAACTTATACCTGTAGCGGGCAAGCAGCCGCGAGTGCAGCGTTAGAGTCTTCAGGATGTGCAGAGCCCGCAGCATCAGCGGAGTCAGAATCTGACGAGGAGGAGGACGAAGACGAGGATGAGGACGACGACGAGGAGGTCGACGACGACGTACTGCTGCCACAAGCCACACTTTCCGCGGTCGGGGACGCGAACTGCAACAAACATTTTATCATCAGTTTAGAGTACTTATTTATACTGGGCAGATCGTGATTCCCCCTACCAATGTGCTTTTCCTACTATACGTTCTACGTTCGCCTAAGCGCCGTCTTATTCCTTAGATCAAAATACGCAACCTTAGAAAATAACATATAGTTCTCATGTTACGTCATAGCTCGTTACATGTGAGTCAGCATACGCCTCAAGCAAGCTGAACGATAGATAAATCAGGATGTTACGCATGATCTCATTAGCACATTAACAACTGGACTTATTTTCACTCCACGTTAAACAAAAATCTAGGCACATATGTAAGTCACATTCCAAAACAAACTAGGTCCTTAACGTTTAACTAATGGACAGTGTGGGTTAGCGGTTATTTCATCAGACGCCTAATTTTATAAACCGCAACCGCGGTTAGATTATGATATATAAGCTATTCATTTAAGTTTGCACCTGAACCTACCCTATTGCATAATCGACATGCTAACAATCAGCCCATACGTATAAATGAACATCAAACTATACAACTGAATGTCATAAGTACACATCCACGGTTCCTACGACGTGTACTGTTTGAATGAATTTCGCATAAAACTAAATTAGCAAAACATATTTTCCATAATCGATCAAGGGGGCAGCAATTGCACAGTACGAGAAGTTCTACAGAGAGAGGTGCCATTAGCACTAGAATTGATTTGGCGCAACCGACAGCCGGTGTTGCAACCGAATCCCTCACTGACCGCAATGTTCTGCACACTCAAACAACCATTCGATCGTACAGTTGCACACTTAACTAGCATGTGACTCAGAGGTCACCAAGCACTGGCACTTGGGTGCGACACAAATTTCAATGCACGAACATAACTGGAAGAAAAAAACGTTTCTTATTTCTGCGTGCAAGTATAACATGTTGAAAATATTTTGCAATACCTAAAAAATGTATAACAGAAGTGGTTAGCTTGAAACGACCGTCTAAAATGCTTATTCAAATAAATGGTTTATCTTATCTGAAATGGTCAAGACATTTGCATACCGGATCAATCAAAGGCGCCAAATCTGACATGTGCCGAAGTGAAATAGGTTGCTGACTAAAACGGGCCCATGGAATGTAAATAGAGCATGTAAGCCTGTAATTCCATTCCCTGTGTGCCTTTTCAAAACTGAATGCACAGCTCACGACTCGATAGCACAATGAAAGGCAAGGAATTAGAACATGCCTGCTCTGAATCGAATGCTGGGTGTAACTTCGATATAGCTTTAGCATGGTTTACTTATTATGAGGAGAATGGCTTATCTACATCAAATACTGTTGCCTCGTTGGTTCAAATTGGTGACTGAACGTACCTTTCACAATTGAATAGATACAATCGCACTTATTAGTTGTGTAGTATTTGTGTTGTTATACTTAAAAGCCCAAGGCAATTACAAGAAACATAGCCCTAAAGACAAGCTTAGAAAGTCGTTGTACGGCAGTAAACTTTATTATAAGTAAGTAGCACATGTATATGTCTATAGTCTATTCTTATAGATTCTATTTATATTGTAAAATGATAAACATAATTGAATGAGCGGTTATTACGAGTGTAGGTGAGTGTGTGAGGCAGTAATGAGTTGACGGGTGTGTTCTGTTTACCATTAAGTTGATTTCCGAGACTGCTAATCAATAAGGCAAAAGGGCGAGCAACCCTCACCAGAAGGGGTTGAAAAAGGTGTCGCGTGGCCACCAGTGTTATCACGGGTCGCATATCAAACACCGCGGAAACAACCCCACAGTCAATACATACAGCAGGTACATTAAACTTTTTATTGCTCTCCCTTAATACCATACGTTGATTACTTACATTTTATAACATAGTACCGATCGTATATTTTTATTCTGCTTTCTATAAAGTTTTTAATATAATAATATAATAGAAAAATATGGAAACAATATTATCAGAAATAAGTAGTGCGTTTCGGTTACGATTGCAATATTATTTACAATTTAGGTACCTGTTGAAAAATTCAATAAGGAAAGGAAAATCCCTGCGGTCTATCTACTGACGAAAAATTCTGCAAACACGACCGTAGAAGTATAAACATTTATCAGTGTTATGTTTGATTTCCCTGAAATTTTAAGCAGAATAACAAGTAATAACAAGCAATTTGAGGATGAAGGACGTTGATTGTACTGTGTCCAAAAATAACAATGTTCGCGTATGATTGTTGTATTATAAATGCAACACTCCAACACTCCGCCTCGTCATATCGCGTCAATGACACAGAACATAATTGAAATTAGTTAAGTTTCAAGCAAAAACATAAATATTCACGATTCAAAATTAGTTTCATAGGTAAACAGTTGAATTATGAAACTAATTTAACACTACTCTCATATTTGAAAAATTTTTAGCAATCATTTCCATGGACTTTTGTCATCCAGTACAGTCAAGATCGACACTTTGGGACTTTTTGTTTTTTTTTCTTTTTGGGTCGTTCTTATCGCACACGGCATAAAGTTTTAAGGCTTAACTCACACTGGCACAGAGTCGAAGCTTCGCGACGCGTCATGTCTTTCGCCTATAGTATATTCATCTCTATTTTCCCATTATTAGGGTACAAATTTGTGTTATGCAAATATGGAAACGGACGCGCGTCTACGCTTGGATGCAGTCGAGCGGCTACGCGCGTCGTCGAGTGGCTACGCGCGTCGTCGCGCGTCACTTCAGCGCAGTGAGGTCACACTCCGGACACTCCATACAACAGTCGAAAATTATTTACCTACTACTACTACATACAGCAAGGCGCTATCTGCACACGCGCGAATGTGTGCGTGAAGTGGCAGGGTTACCTACCCATCACTTGCTCTTACTATTACGTTACGTCGTCAGGTCAGAGGCAACATAGCGAAAATTCTAACGCGAATCTGTTATCTATAATTGTATTATAGAATCCTTATAATTACGCATGTTCATTACGTATTTATATCGATATAATATTATATTTTTTATTAATTTACTAACTAGTATAATATTGAAGATTTGTTTAAAAAATATATTAAAAGCACTTAAAATGTAATATTTTGGACAGGTACCTTTAACTAAGGTAACCAAAGTATTTGAAATTGCGTGTTCAACTTTATCATTACCTAGTTAATAATTAGGTAGGTATATTCACTACGTAATATTTATCGGCAATACAAATTGAAAATTCTAGAACCCTTGTCTAGCTCACGAAGTTATGGCGGCTTATTATATTGATATAATAAATCTACACTAAAGAAAACAATAACTGAATAAGTCTCAGATATAAGTTTTTTTACTTACTTCGTTTCATCTTTCAAAAAACGAAAGAAACTCCTCTCGTTATCCGCACAATTCACGACCATTTAAGATAGTAACGTAAAATGATGTTATATATTAACATACAAATTTTGTAATGACTAAATGAAAACTATATTGAAACGTCAAAGCCGTATTAGCGCGAAAGCGGTTCGCCGACAGCCTTGTACTCGTTCAGTCAATGTGACCGTCAATGTGCGGGGCGTGATGCGGTATCTAAAGCTAGGGAGGGGCGGAGAGTGTCCGTTCTCATTATTTATTTGTTCTCTGGTGAGGGTTCAGACGACGACCACACTGATCCAGACACACTAATGCGAACGTCGACGCGCGTCGCCAAGCGTCGTAGTTATCGACAGATATCTTATTATAGGAGCTTATACGTCCCCGTAATTAATTTCTGACTTTGTGAGACGACTAGCAAGAACAGACAGACTATTTTTGCTCTTTTAACCGACTTCAAAAAAGGAGGAAGTCGACCGTTTTATTTTTCTTTTTGTATGTATGTTACGATTTTTATTACGATAACTCCGGTATTTGTGAACTGATTTTCACGATTATTTTTTTGTTGGAAAGAGAGTACCTCCATAGTGGTCCCATTTAATTTTGAAGAAAATTATCCACCTCTAAGGGTGGCTGTTCACGCATGAAGATTCATTTTTTTATAAGGAGCAATTATTTTAATGGTTAATTTTGCTATTCTCCAATTCAAGGCATTTTTCTCTCTCAATATACTTTGAGTAGTGAAAACAGATTTTTATTATCTCCTATGTCAGGTCCCGTATAGTGGCGAACTAGGGGATGAATCCGGGTTTGCGCACTTTCCGGTAACCGATTTCAATAAATCTTGGTAATTATATGTAATTCCACGTGCTTTTGAGGTCGGTTTTTTTTGGTATTCTGTACTGAGATTATACTCACAACACCCGAATCGAACGTCAACTGTCGTATTCGATATCGACCCGAACTGACGTGACACCCGTACGATTACTCGAACTTGTCGACCGGCAAAGCTAAAAAACGTTATTCAGAAAACAATTATCGAATGAAAGTTACCGAACGTCGTATTGTTCATAAAGTAACAATTAATATGGAAATCTCTTATTATTTTAAATAGTCTGGATTTTGTTCAATTTTATAAATTTTCTCGTATTAGTATTGTCTATCACTACTTTTTACGAACAAAATAATTTTCTTTTTCAGTGTAAATATAATGGCAGTCGAAGAATGTTCTGTAATGTTATCTTTCAGAAACCATAATTCTGGAGCCCAATTTCTGTGATCTGTGAAAATTTGGTCTCAATATTAGAATCAAGACTCAATCTGGGCAAATATGAAAGCTCTGTGCATTTGAATTAACAATAGGATAACGGTATGTATCTGAGTCGGCGCCGACACGAATATCACATTAGCGACCTCGTGATCTGACGAGATTTATACTTGACAGCGAATTGCAAACAAACCGACGTTAACCCCTAGGTTACGACTTCAAAAATTAACGTATCTAAATAGATCATAACCATCTATGACAAATAGCGTACAAGTACATCTGTGAAATTAACTACAGTACCCTATGTTCTATGGTTATTTAATTGATGACACGTTGAGCTAAAGTGCTCACTGCAACACGAAAGGAGGTATGAAAGTTAAGCACTTCATGGTGAGGCAAATAATAA